TTGGCCTCCTACTGAGCTGAATGTCCCATTTTCGAAAGTTACTTCCACCGATGATTAATTATTAACGATAAAAGTTTTGTTTCTAATTAACATTTTCAAAGTACCTGTTCATAAGGAAATTAAATTTACAAATATACTGATGGGCAAGACGTGGCTTTCACATTTTAAAGAAATGTCAAGCCCCAAAAATTTGATTGCACATATTAATGCAGATGTTCAAGATGGTGCAAATAAGCCGAAGTGCACTTCCTGGAATGTTGAGTTTAGTAGGAGTGTGCGAGGCCTGCATTCTAAAACTCCCAGGATTAAAAAAATCCCGACGTTTATAGTACCAAGAGAGTGTCAGTGGTTCAACGGAACACGACAAAGTTAAAATTAACATTTTAATGGACAGCAAAGTGGCTAAATGCACTTTGGAAAGAAATATATTTTTGTTTGTTTTTGTTGAAAAAACAACATTTCAGACGCTGGCTCTGCTGCCATTATCCTGTAACACTAAAAAAACTAATTTGCTGCACCCACTGGATGCAGCTTGTCTCAATTCCCAGAAAATATCCAAAAACATGTATCAAGTGAACAACAAAACTTTGTGATGATGAAATAATTGTGAATTGTTGAAGACGTAGCCCCTCCGCTTTGTATTCTGGATGTCCTGTGCTCAAGTCCTGGACTGCAGATGAGCAGTCCTGGTTTTTGTTAGTTCCTCCAGGTATCTGCAGGCTTAGTACCTTCAGATAAATCACAGATTTATATCATTTTCACCGAGTGTCAAAATTTAACTTGGGCTAGTGATGACATGAGTTACCTGAACCATTGTCACATTATATACTGCGAAACTTTTTGATGGACTTTAAGCCCTCCATTTTACAATTCTTAGACATGATGTTAAGGCAAATGTTAAAAGTATTCTTGTGATAAAATGTTGAGTTAATTGAATCATGTATAGTTACAACTCATGTTAGAAAAATTATTATAAGAATGACTATTTCGGACATTAAATTTCAGAAACTGAATCCAGGCATTGCTATTATTACAGACAAGTGAATAATTTAGGAAAATACGGAACATCTCTTCAGTTAATTAGTTTTTGGATTTTCTCTTTTGTGTCGCCGACGGTTCTGGAGTTCACTCTTTCGATGGCTTGACATTCTCTTGCCTGTCAGCATTTCCATTTCCTTTTCATGCCAGGTCCTGGTGGACCATGTTACAGGATGGGGTTGTTAATGGTTGCGTTGGTGCAAGCAGCCATTTTGTGGGTGGCTAGCGTGGAGTGACACACCATCATATATTTGGGGAGGTGGGGGTGTCTACATAACTGGGATTAAAGTTATGATGTAATATACATTAACAGTTTTTGCTAGGAGGCCTTTATTGTAATTTTGTATAGTGGAGGTATATTGAAGGGAGGAATTTTTTCCAAGTTGTTTGCATCATGTTTCAGTTGTAAATCTGTGTAACTGTATTTATTTTGGTTTTTCCTGATAATTGTTGTCGTTGGTCTACTGCGAGCCGTAGTTGCGTTGTCTGTGGCTGTGAACTTTAACGGTGCGTGGGCTAAGTACTCAATGATGATCTCTTGAGGTTGAAGCACGTTTGGGATTAGTGTCCCTTCAAGTGTAAACAGTTTTGTTTGTATGTATTATTTTAAATTTCAATACACTGCACGGTATGCAAGGTTTTAAGACTCTGAAATGCTGGTGAACTTCTACCAGACTATGCAGCAAAACATCTGAGAAGGCAGTAATGTTTATTTAAGCTGATTTTGTGAAAATATATTAACAAGAGTAGCAACACTATATGCTGTTGGTCAAAATCCATCAAGACAACTGCATAACCTCACTTCTTGATACTTAAGTTCCCACACACAAATTAATTAACTTCTTGTGTGCCTGCATGCACAGGGTAATCAGTTTCCAGTTTTTCTAACAAAATCTGACTGGGTGAAGAGAACTTCAGTTTGGACATTATGGTATGGAATGAGAATCTGGGAAAATGTGGCATAAGTGGCATTTGCAGTCTTGCATGCATTGGAGACACAATGCCCCTGAACCTTGTTCCTACCAAGCTCTCATTCAGGAGTCATTCAGTTGGAAGAGTCAACTGAGAACACATCAACGCGTACATAGTGGAGAGCGTCAATTTGCATGCAATGTGTGTAATAAATCATTCAGTCAGAAGAGTCATTTGAAGGAACAACAGCATATACATAGTGGAGATTATCCATTTGTCTGTGATGTATGTAATAAATCATTCAGTAGAAAATGGGACCTGAAGACACAGAGCCATACATATTGAAGAATGTCCGTATCTGATATGCGTAATAAATCATTCAGTTGAAGGAGTCATCTGAAGAGACATCAAAGTATATATCATTGACTGTCCTTATGTGTGATGAATGATCAGTGCATATGTAGTACATAGTATCCTTAATCCTTTGATATGTTTAATATATCTTTATGTTGTTAGACACTGACATAATTGCATAATACACAGTGGAGAGCATCCTCAATCCTATGACATGTAAGATATTTTCCTGCCCTGAGATTCTGAATAAATGTCAACTCGTGCAGAGAATATGTTCTGATACTGGAGTAACGTGTCACCTGTTCACAGAAAACAGAAGATATATTTGAAAAAAGAGTGACAAAAATAAACAGCTTTAAGGGTTTCTGTGAAAGTTGTGTAAGTTCTTTAGAGCATACTTATGTATAAAACTAATGTATTCATTTCAGCTTATTTGGCCTGCTCTTCCAATCCTCTTTGCCTACTAAATATGAGTAGTTAGCTTAGTCCAGGAATCTTCAAATGATTGTTTCGTATAAATAAAATGATTATGCTAGCCTGTAAACACCTGAATTTCACACAGTGATTGTCTTTCAACTGATGATTTCTAATATCTGCTGGACCCCTTTCACTCATAAAACGAAGCACAACATACCTTCCATTAAATGGGCTGCAGTTACTTTGCGAATTACTTGGGGGTGGAGGGTTTTGGTAAAAATCATAATCTTTGTAATCAAACAGCAGCTTACATAATTTACACCTCTTCTTCTGCTTCTTCGTACTGTGTTTGTCCTGATATTTTTCTCTTTTCCTTAACAGAGTTCTCTGAATGAACACCAACTTTCACATGGTGAGGGGCATCAATATTACTGTGACGTGTGCAATAAATCATTCAATCGAGGAAGCCACCTGAAAATTCATCAACGCATACACAGTGGAGAGGTTCCATATGGCTGTGATATATGTAATAAATCATTCAATCAGATGGGTCATCTCAAGAAACATCAGCTGATACATAGTGGAGAGCACCCATATATCTGTGATTTTTGTAGTAAATCATTCAGACAGAGGAGTCATCTCAAGATACACGAACGTTTGCATAGTGGGGAATGTCCCTATGTCTGTGATGTGTGCAATAAATCATTCAGTATAAAGGGTTACCTGAAAAAACATCAGCGTATACACAGTAGTGAGCGGCCTTATTCCTGTGTTGTATGCAATAAATCATTCAGTCATAACTGGCGCCTGAAGATTCATCAACGCATACACAGTGGAGAGCGTCCACATTCCTGTGGCGTGTGCAATAAATCATTCAGTATGAAGGGAAACCTGAAGAGACATCAGCGCATACATAGTGAGGAATGTCCTTATGTCTGTGATGCGTAACAAACCATTCACTCAGAAGAGTAATCTGAATACACATCAAAACACACATAGTGGAGATGGTCCGTATACTTGCGAAGTGTGTAATAAATTATTCCGTAATAGGAGTACTCTGAAGAGACATGAAAGCATACACAGTGGAGAGCGTCCCTAGTCAGGTTACAAGCAAGATATTTTTCTGTGAGATTCTGAATAAATGTCTGAGTATGCATATCTGGTGCGAGAATATGTTCTGGTATTGGAGTAATGCGTTATCTGTTCACACAAAAGAGAAGATATATTTGAAAAAGACGTAAAAATGAATGACTTTATTCAGTTCAGTTGATTTGATAAAGAATTATTTTTCATTTTATAAATAGGTATTCAGTTACATTTTGATTAGAACCAGTGTTGAATAGGACCCTCACCGTTTTGGATTATGGCTCGAATTGATCTTTTCCAGTGGTTGCCAGCTGTCAGATATTTTGTGATATAACAGTCCACACTTAAACAATTGGTGTACAAGAAGAAGAGAACCATTTCAGTATCTGGTGTCAGGTTTAGAAGCAAAGAACTTGAAAAGCACAGATCATGATCATTCATTGACCAATGGTAGAGACAGTTTTAAAGCTGAATCAAAGAGAAAAGGTTCCTGTTCAATGTTGTTTCCAATAAAAATATGACAATGATAAATAAAATACCTGGTGAGATGTGTTTCTATTGGGTATGAGTAAGATGATGTCTTCTGGCATAGTGCACTGTGTAGTTTGGTAGAAACTGACCTGTGTTTCAGGGGTGCTTATTGCCTGCATTATCAGTCTGATGATGGAGACACTAAGGGCCTCTGAAGTGTCGGCCAACTTCTACTAAAACTACATGACACGTCCCAGAAGACTGTCATCTTCAATAAAATTAATGTTTTTAACATTCAGAATGGCAAATATTTTTTTGTATAAGGAATTATACAAACTAAATAAATATTTTGTATGTATACTTATATAAACTTCAACTGGACTACATGGTGCAAAGACTTAGAAGACGGCCATCTTTAATATTATAGTTATTTGAACTGTCCATTTATGTTGACTTTTACTTACATTCACAAAATCTCTTTAACTACATTAGATCTATGTGTCAACCCATTTCTATAAACCACACCAAAGTTGTTATATTTGGCGATTTGTAAATGCATAAATAAAACAATTATGCTAGCCTCTAAATGCAAGAATTTCACATAATGTTGAAGTCTTACAATTGATGATTTCTAATATCTGCTGGACCTCCAGGAGGGAGACTCCATTCACCCACAGAGAAGCAAATGGTACTGTCAACTGAGCTGCAACTATATATTGTGAATTATTTGGAGGGCTTTGGTATAAAAATGTAATTCTTATAATAGGGATTGGCCTAATTTGCACGTTGCTTTCAAACTCATTCTTCTTCTTTGTAATATGTTTGTCCTGATATTTTTATCTTTTCTTTAACAGAATCCCCTGAGTGAACATCAACTTTTGCATAGTGAGGGCCGTCCATATTCCTGTGATGTGTGCAATAAATCATTCAGTATAAAGGGGTACCTGAAGAGACATCAGCGCATACACAGTGGTGAGCGGCCTTATTCCTGTGTTGTATGCAATAAAACATTCAGTCATAACTGGTGCCTGAAGATTCATCAACGCATACACAGTGGTGAGCGGCCATATTCCTGTGACGTGTGCGATAAAACATTCAGTGTGAGCAGTTGCCTGAAGATTCATAAACGCATACACAGTGGTGAGTGGCCTTATTCCTGTGTAGTATGCAATAAAACATTCAGTCGTAACTGGCGCCTGAAAATTCATAAACGCATACACAGTGGTGAGCGTCCTTATAGCTGTGATGTGTGTAATAAAACATTCAATGAAAGGGGACATCTGAAGAGACATCAGCTGAAACACAGTGGAGAGCGTCCACATTCCTGTGATGTATGTAATAAATCATTCAGTTGGAGGAGTCATCTAAGAGACATGAAAGCAGATATACATGGGGAGTGTTCATACTTTTCACATGTCAAGAAGTGGAGAGCGTCCACATTCCTGTGATGTATGTAATAAATCATTCAGTTGGAGGAGTCATCTAAGAGACATGAAAGCAGATATACATGGGGAGTGTTCATACTTTTCACATGTCAAGACATTTTCCTGCCTGGAGATTCTGGTTAAATGTCAACTCAAGTTCTGTTATTGGAGCAATGTGTTGCCAGTTGGCACAAAGGAGAAGATACATTGAAAAAGAGTGGTGAAAATAAACGTCTAATAAAAGATTTAAATGAAAGTTGTACAAGTTCTTTAGAACATACTTATGTATAAAACTAATGTATTCATTTCAGCTTATTTGGCCTGCTCTTCCAATCCTCTTTGCCTACTAAATATGAGTAGTTAGCTTAGTCATTTCGTTTTATCCTCAGCAGCAACATTTGTATATAGGCTAAGTGAGTATTTCTTTCGTGACTTTTTAATTTTTGTATTCAGGATGATAGTTAATAGCAGCAAGTGGTATTGTGTGCCTTACTGAAGGAGTCAGTAATTGGAAACTTAAAACAGCCGTCTTATATCGCAAGGATTACGAGATGTTACATACGATGGGGAAAGTTTTATAGGTCACATAACAGTGACAGGCACACTCCTGTTTCAAAAGAATTTGTTAATTTCATTCTGATATACCGTAGGGCCCCGCTTTTCAGCGCCCCGCTTTACGGCGATTCGCTAATACGGCGCTTAACAGATGAGTCAGAGAAGTGCATCCGGCGCCATTTTATCGTCGCTGATTCAGTCTGTTTACAGCTTTTGCGCGCTGCGCGTCTCCGTATTTCTGGAAATTTTTCAAAGTTATTACAAACTGTATATTTATATAATATCGCGAATTACTTGGGGGTGGAGGGTAAAAATCATAATTCTTGTAATCAAACAGCAGCTGACATAATTTACAATGATGTTAATTTATATATTATGGCCACGTGTTCTACATGTCCTGCCCATCTCATCCTAATTATATCTGGTGTAAAGTAAATATTATGGAGCTCATCATTGTGCAATTTTCTTCTCCCCTCAGATATGTTTTCCTCACCATCATGCTCTCAATTGCCCTTACTCAATCTGTACTTTCCCTTACCCCATGTGGGACCACATTTCATGCCCCTACAAAACAGAAGGTACAAACTACAGACCTGTATAATTTCATCCTTGCATTTTTTAGATGGCAGGATGGAAGACAAAAATTCTTAACTGAATGGCCACAAGCATGCCATGAATTTAATGTACTCTTAATTTTTTGTTGAATCCAATTTTGATTTGTTACTGTCATTCCCAAATATTCTGTCACATTTTTTCAGGACTAAAAAATTTGTAACCGTAGATCACATTCCAAGGCAAAAATGTGTCTGAACGACATGAAACAAGAACCATTACTGTCAATACTTTTCAACTTTGCTTCAGGAGATTCTAGAAAATCAATGTTACAAATTGTTCACCTGATGTGAAATCCTCAAAACATAAATGTGTAATCCCGTTGACATCATTTGCACATACGACCAATTAACAAAATATATTTTGGAAGATTCCAGCAATTTTCATTTCTACAAACACATTTTGGAGAAAAAAAATTCTATCGTTCTTGTAATGGCATTTCCGTGTTCTAAAAAGTGTGCAGTCACATTTTCTTACAGTTCAATCCATATTTTGGCTTCAAAATTGTAAAAAGGCTGTTCCAGAACACACTCCCACATCCTGAAAGGAATCATACACAGAATAACGAAAACTGTTTCGCTTACAAAACGCTGTACATATATTTTTTTACAACAGATACTACAAGACGATATTCATATTTGATCATATTTACAAACTTGTTCTTATCTTTATTACTTCATAATCAGATGAAAATTCCCAGTTTTCCAATATCAAAATAACTGCATTTTGATAAACTACAAATTGAGAAAAAATCAATGTCTCTCATATGTGACCTAAAAGTAAACTGACAATAAGGAATGCACCCTGGAAACTTTTTACGTTACATCTTGTTACACGCTACACAAGTTAATAAAATAAGGATATTAAAGACACAGTGCACGCTATCATAGGCCAGTGTGTTCTTTTTCTTAAAGGCCAGACTACAAGCTTCTTTCTACTGGAAACAAAGTCTTCCCAGATCAATATGGTGCACAGTTTACTGCTTCATGCAGCCGACTGCGTGTTGTAAACGAGCATTCTTCAGACTTAAATGTATGATGACTGGATAAATTACAGCATACCTCAGGAAAATAAATTACAGACAAACAGAGTTATGTAAAAAACTAAATTGCTAGAAAATATACAGAAAGAAAGTATTTAAGATAATGGATGACCAGGAAATGTGTACGTAACAATTTCATTAAAAGTTAGAGCTTGGAAGCGCTCACTCCTTTAAGCTAGAAATATAATTGCTTTCAAAGGGGAAAGCTTTAGAAGCTAACATACTTACATTTATTCCCTTTAAACCCTGCGATCCCTTAAGAAACTTTAATGAAACTAATCAGTTACAAACAATATCAAAAAGGTGTTGGTCAGCACCAAAGATGCTAAAACACTGGTACGTATCTACAAGTCCACACCGTGTTACATACCCAGAGACCAACATCAATATCTTTACCACCACGAGAATTTAAGTTCTCACTCGGAGTATCATAAATATTATCATCAAAATGAACAGATGTTAAAATCTGTAAGGCACAATTTTATTCTTATTTTCAAACACATACGTAGTTACAATATAACAATTCGATCAATACAACCACAGTCCGACATTATAAAATGAAGAATTTTGCATCGTTAGGTCCCAAATAAGCCATAGCACCTCTTTTCAGAGAATCATCATCACTGTAAGATGGGAGAAAAGGGGATCTATGCAGGTATTAACTGAAAAATCAAAACTGTTTTCACTTTAATTGTATTAAGAGCCCTGACAGATCAAATTCATTTTTTAAATTGTTTGTCAGAGCTGAGATGGAAGTGCCTTCAATATTTCGCCCCTAAATTATCATACCTGACAACTGCATAGCTGCAGAAGCCGTTCCTACCATCTGTTAGCAATATGGTGTATTATGTGTAAAGACATTTTCTTGTTCAACTTAGCCACAGAGAAAAATGAAGGCTATTTACTATTAAAACTGAGATCTGTGCTGAAGGGCAGGTATAATATTATTTGGGGATAAGGGTTAAATAGTTGTACGTTGCAATATGAAACAGATGTGACAACAAAAGTTCTATACTTAACATAAACATGTACATGTTGCTCTGGTAATCCTACCACCTTCAAAGCATCAAAACTATAAAACTAACTGTAAAATAACCACTTGAGCCCTTAACATCTTGGAATATCTGAGGAATGTAAAATCAAATTCACATATGCTTCCCATTAATAGGGGTATTAAACTCCCCGTACTACAGGCCGTCAACTGGACTCAAATCCAGCGTGAAGCACAGTCGTCTAAACTGTGTGGAAGCCATGAAACACTGTCAAGAAAGGTTAACAATATTCCAAAATGCCTCTTTCATTCTGGTTCCTAATGTGCCCAAAAATGTGCAGGCATTTCTGCCCAGCATTCCTTTCTTACTTAGGAGGATAAAAAGTAATTATAAATTTATCCCTGTATCCAAGCACAAGGTCCTGATGATGTATGGAGGCATGGAGACAAACCTCCGTGAATTAATCTTGGCACTAGAGGGCAGATTCATGCTCCATCCACATGGTGACTAGGAGGAAAAACATCCGTCCGCGTAATTGTGTTTACAAAAAGGAGCAATTAAGCATCATCACTGAACGAGCACAGAAGAGAAATTAAAGGTGGAGTAAGGCCCGAACCACGTCCATTCAAACTACACTTTGAACTTTAAGCTACGCAGCTTTACAGAAAACAGCACTCTCCTCTGCGAAAACACATTCCACATAAATTCAAAATAACTTGTTAAGAGTCAGAACCACTGAGCGATCTTTTCATGCGCTCGAAAAGAAATTAAATTCGGTCCACTCCCACTCTTCCTCCCACTAATAATTTAACTTACATTTGCTATTGCATGCATGTACGATATCATTCGAGAACATTACTTAACGAACTAAACAGCACCATACAAACAGTTCAGACTCAGCAGACGCTACTTACGCTTACATCTAGATTGTAGTTACAGTGAAACCTCTATCCATCGTTTTCCCGGATGCATCGTTTTTATTTCCCACCCCCGCCAAAAACGATGCATCGAGGTTTCACTGTATTTCATTCAATCCTCTGAGGTTCTTGTGAAAACTTTCTGCGTATTATTCCTGATAGAAATAATAACTAAAAAAAAAAAATATATATAGTGCAAATACGTTTCATATTCAACGTCTTCACTCTACTATGATCCGTCTGGAAGGCATATGAAAACTGGTACTGTTTCAGCAGAATCCTGCTCCACTTCTGGGGTTATATAGAAAGTAGTCGGTACCAGAAACAAATTATAAAGTTGCTGCTGTATAAGAGTCTCTGCTTCCCTCTCAGATTCCATATCTTCCTGCAGTCTTGTCTCTCGTTCCCTGAGTTCATCCAATTCTTTCAATAGGTCCGCATTGCTTCTTTGCACGTCTTTCAATCTCCGACGCAGTATCTTAATCTCATGTTCACGCTCTGGAAAATAAATGGGTTTCAGTAAACTGCACATAAATGTTAATATACACTGCGTAAATAATAAATAACATTCCCTATGTCCCGAACAAGAAATATATACAGAGACAGCATCTGAAAGCAAATCTATTCCTCTCCCATCGTAAGAAGAAAACGGCGCGCTTGTTTCCGGCAGTGTGGTACCGCGATACAAGAAATTATCATGGCGTGGGAAAGTAATTTCAGTATCGCTACCTGTTGTTGTTTCCATGAACTTTACAATAGCATCCGTCACGTTAGACGGTCCTGCACCACAGCAGCTGTCCTGCTGTCTGTTTCTGCCCGATCCCTTACTACTTCCGCGGCCCATCGGTGCTCCGTCCAGACTCGATTCGTCCAGTGAAGTTGGTACGGAATGTGAACTTGTGCCCGACAGGACTCCGTCTTGCTCTGCTGCTAGACGTTCTTTAGTGAAGTCTCCTGCTATGGACTACGATAAAAAACAATTCAAAGATAGTGAGTAGAAATCTAAGGTTCAATTGCATCTCGCTTTTGCAGCTTGGCATATTCTCCTCGGCTTCCATGTTCATTTATGGCAAATACAAATATGCCGTTAACATAACTAACGAACACCACAGATAGTATACTATACAGTCACATACATTCTATTTATGGTGAAGCTGATCAGGTGCACCAACACCTTCCAAAACTGCCTTTCCTCTTTCACTTCTATTTTCTATACCACAGACGGACCGAGAATAAATTCTACAAACAAGTGTTTCTACATAACCCCCAACCAATACCAAAATTTGTTTGACTGTGACTAAGGTAACCAATTTGACTTAACTTTCACTTACCTGGAGGTGCTGCCTTCCATACAAATGTTCCTTCTTATTGTGAAGTGAACTGAACCACTGATCACATGTTCGACAGTATAACTCCTCATTATCTTCATCCTGCAAAAACCCATTTTCTGTACACGGTCAATGATTTATCACGTACAAAATTTATTAAAGTGAAAAGAGAAGATTGCTCAGCGCAGTCTGGTCCTGATCACGAAGGTATTTATCACTTATGTGTCAACAGACGTCAACCGATCATCTCCCTCCAACCCTACATTCACTGAACATCACGCAAATAACGGCGAGATGAAGTTGACACTTATATGAATAGCAAATCGTCCAGTAAAAATCCGACGTTTCTCACGGGACCAATTAACAATAATTCATATTTTCTAAAAATAAAAATATTTTCAAAGAGTAGGTCCAAAGGAATATAAAACTTACATTTCTGACCTTACGCAGAAACTTTTCACAGCAATCAACATTTTAAAATCAGTTTATGGCCAGACCTGGGTACTTCAAACTGACAGCACATGAATGAAGCGAGAAAACACATTTGACGGTACAAAATGCCAGCTCAACCACATAAAAGCACATCACGCCTCAAATACGAAGATATTCTGGGTTAACAGAAATGACTCGACTATGTTCTCTTTTATTTCAGTTTTATCATTTAATAATTATTTCATTTTTCCTTAATTTGTTGGTGTCTTGGACAAATTGTCCAGGAAACCCTTTTCAATAGAATAAATTTTATCTTTTACTGGACTAACTACAAAACTTGTATCAGAGTTTCACTTACTTCTATCTCATCAGTGGCGTCCATGTCGGACTCCTCAGTTCCATTTCCCTGCAGATCTGGAATTATTTCACGCATTAACAAACACAGTTGTTAATCTGTTACACGTCTGTCAGCGATTACAAGTTAGAGCTGATTATGTTATGGCCGGTAACCACAGATACCGACCGCGATCGAGCTGCTCGGTTCGGGAGTTTACGTAGGCTACGACCAGGTAATTAATTACGTTCTATGTTTGAGACCGGAAAGAATATGATACTAAAATTTCATACAATTACCTAAATAAATAAGCAAGGAAGTAATGACAATTAAGTACGCATAACAAAAATTTGAAACTCAACATATCAATCTATTACGACCTACTTTTTGTGCGCTTTTTATTCAGATACGACTGGTACGCATCAGACTGACGATATGCCTTGAGCTCCTCCCGGTAACGTCTCTTCTCCACTTCTGCACGGTCTAAATAGATGCGCTTCTCCTCTAGACTTAGTTTGCTCCATTCATTACCTAATAATTTAGTTACCTGCAAACATACGAAGTGTATCATCACCAGACAGTGAGACAGATCCATTAAAATATACGACAACTGAAACAATCCACGACTATTAGAGACATATTCCAACTCATTTACACAGAAACCTGAAAATGCCAGAAACTCTTCAACATAAAGCAGATGTTTGAAAATGACCTTGCAGTCCGTAACAGAGAATCACAGTGGCGGACTAAAATTGATTAACAGATAATTACGAGCCTTCCTTTATTTTATTTATTTAACAACACAGTCAACAGTTCAGATTATACAGCGTCAACTGACGAGATGATTTTTGTTTGTCCGCAGAGTACTGCCGTCTAACGCGGAGAGTTTTTAAGTTTTTTGTGAATGTCACACGGGTGCCATGCTGTCGGTAGTTTCACTTTTTCAGCATGATTTTGACACTTATCATGATCTTTCATCAGTACGTTTCATCGTGCCGTCTTGAAACGATATTTGACCAAATGCTTCCTCTACATAATTCAAGCCATAAAATATTACATTCTGAAGCTCCTTTACCTCTGGAAAAGGCAGATCTTTGTACTGCTTCCTCTTCTCATTGAGGTACAGGACGTAACCCGTGGCCGGAGCCTTGGGAGGGCGCATCTCCGACAGCTCGGGTTTACGTTTCCTGCCTTTCGGCCATCCGCCACGCTTTTTCTGCTGCTGTAACGTGTTAAAACTGAAACATGTCTGTCTCGATTTATTTTATGATTCTTTCCAACTCGTCCGGTTAACAGCAACCAGACACACGACAATTACAAAAGACAAGATGGGAGAGACGTAAAAGGACATAGCTGCGTCTATTTCTAGGCATTATCCCATTGTTTCTGAACCAGTCTGCGAGCCAGCACCTCCTGAACATGAAGCAAGATTGCTAAACATTACACATTATGTTTGGATGAAACCAAATCTACAGTGCAACCACCTTAACAAAAATCTTAGACCTACTGAATACGAAAAGTTTGCTTTCGAAAGCACTTCTTTTGTAATACAAGCTGTAGCAGTAGGCTTGCTAGTACGACAGCTTACCTGACTAGACACAACAACAGAAGCTTGGACCCTGCCAGGTGGTGGTTCTGGAACTAAAGTGCCAGATGACGTAACAGCCACACGAGGCTCAGTCTCTTCTCTCCTTATTGAAGTTTTTTCTCCATTTATTCTCTGTTGTTCTTTTTCTTCAGCCTTCAATGGATCCTGAGACAATTCAATCTGTACTTCAAGAGATGATAAATTATCCACAATTTCCAGGTTTCCACTACTGCCACTGGCCTGTTCGCACATAGAGGATTAAAATCAGTTATCATTATTTGAAATCTAATAATATGGGTTTAGAGTCTTCCTATGGAACTAATGTAAAAGCCAATGTGTTGTTTGAAATAAATTCAGAATACAGCTCTGCGACTTTATCACCTTGGTAACAAACATCTAAAAAAATAAAAAAAATAAATGCACTGTTAAGCAATATACAAGAATACTGTAAATAAATGCTTGTAGCACAATATCCAATGTCAAAAAAATACATTATACAGTGAATAAGAGATTTCAGGTTCACACGGCAGCATCAAGTACAAAGGCTGTCTTCTCGGTTGTAGTGCTGTGTGTTTACTACAACCCCATTGTGGGATTTTGAGCATCAACATAATAAACACACATGTCGGCATGTTCTTTCAACCATTTCCTTTTCGAATACATACTTGTGAAGCATCCGGTAGGACACTGAGCATCACATCCCCCAGTGTAAGTGGAAGTGCCAATTCATCATTTGCAGTTTTCTCCACATTCTGCTGGGTAAGAAGCTGGGCTGCAACGTTTTGAAAATCTTCAACAGAAAGATTTAAACCTCCAACACCCGAAATGAGGGCATCTTTTAGAGATAAACAAATAAGCCTGTAAAAACAAGAAACTGCTGTAATTAAAATTTCTGACACACCCTGAAATAATGGCAAAGTTATGTCGTTTATACTGTACAACATACATACAAACAACACATTTCACGGTAATGATATAATCTGCAAACACATTTATTCTCTGGCGTACGCAGAAAAAAATGTAATTTGTATTGAACAAAATGCAATGTGATACTAACCCTTTATTCGTTTCGACCAAAATCCCGTTTTCCAATAAATCATTAGCAGCAGTAACAGGGTCGATCTTTGATCGTTCATCGTCTGATAAAACTTGTGGTGACGATACTGAAGAAATACTGAACTGATGGGAGACATTATTTACATTACTACTAAAAAGAATACCACCAGCTTCGTCTTCCATGTTACTTATTTAATAATGTGCTCTGTTGAAGCCTCTGTCTCTCTCTCTCTCTCTGACAGGAAATACCACATAGGTCATTGCAAGCCAGTTTACCAACGAACCGCTCAATACATCAAAACTTAACAATAATGATGAACTAATATGAATTACAGACACAACTACAATGAAAAATATAGCATTTCCCATTCATAATAGATCCACACATTTGATTTCGGAGTCTTGAATAACACACTTCCGGATAAAGCGGAAGTTCAAACTTTTTATACACATATGACGTAGTGTGACGACACATCCGACTTTGTAATGCGGCGTTGCAGAAGGGCAACGGGGAAATCGAAAAGACAGCTCACATCTCAAAAACCCCCAATGCAGTGAAATGAACTCCACGGCATTAGGCCTCCTTGAGAAGCTGGCAGTCTCGCAGCTTGTCACGAAATTCCCCGTCTTTGATGGAACTAAAGGTTCATTACTATGTTAACAAGATTCAACCACTGGCCCCTATCCCAACCACAATCTCCCATCATATTTTATTGTAATTTTTAACAATAATAATTTAACTGAAGGCATTTTAGACTTAAAAAATTAATGGGAAGTGTACCTCCATATTAGCAATTTCCAAGATTTCTGGTTCTCACACTGACAAGATGTCTTATGGAAGTTGAATACAGAGTCTTGTAGAGATTGCTCATTTCAGAGATGCTTACTGCTTGCACCACTGGGTCAATTTCTACCAGACTACATGGCACAGGAGACAGCCACCTTCAATTCTAAAGCTTATTCTTACTGTATCATTACCAACGACATGAGACCACTACAAGATTGTCTAATCATTTTCTCTTATATGGCAACTCTGAATTTTAATTTTATCAGATCAATATCATATGGTCCAGGCTCATAACAGGTCCTAAATAATTAGCAATACATAAATAAAGAAGATTTGGAGTATACATAATAACATACATACAAATAAATATCACACAATTTTTATATTTATATCGCATTATCATATTTGCTCCAATTGCAGGTCTTTGGACAGAAAGAAATTGTGACAAGAAGACAAACTAAGACTGTTGGTCAAGTTTGTTCCCATTTCAGACCTTTAGTCAGAGAACAACAATTATGACAACTAGACAAATAAAGATTTTTATAAAAATACTGAGCATGCTGTCTACATACTTTAACAATAAAAAATACACAATATATGAATCTACCTGCATGATTTTCTATGCCATTACTCTTTCATTAAATATGGGATTACCTGTAAACTACATTCCTATTTCAACAGTTTCTCGAAGTCTATATCTTCATATTAGTGGTTAACATTTCTCGACATCTGCATCACAAAGTCTATAAAGATCACCACAAAACACAAAAATAAACCATGGGGGATATTATACACAAATTCTGAATGAGTTTATACAGTAATTTTGTTGATAAAATATGAAATAGAAAGTTAAAGTGTGGTGGATACCACTCTTTTTCTACCTCAGGAGGTACATGGTATTAATCCCAACCAGGAAACATATTCTGCTAGATATTTCTAATTGCTTCCCTCACTCCTAAAATAAGCCAAAAATGCCTTCTGGAATATTTGTTGTGTCCCTGCCATCTATCAGTCAAAGATGCAGTCACACAGTGCCCATCATTAAATAACCTAGAAAAAACCTTACATTAAAGCAAAGTACTTATCACGAGCACGGGATAGAGAGAAATGGAGGAGACGCTGGGGCCCTCGCGTGAGCCGATGAACGGGTTGTTTAAGTGCTTAAGTACTTATCACAATGTTTCCATTTATATTTCTGTAGAGTTCATACGAATACAATAACATGATTTACTCAGTACCATGTCGGAAAGACCATCACAGCATCCTGTGGTTGACGAGAATGGGCAGTAGAAGCGCGCGGTGCCGTTTCAATAACTAATGCATAGGAGAAAATGCCTTTTGGAGATCATGCAAAGAATATGATGCTGATTCAGCTACTGTTTACTGGTTTGAAGCAGTGAAAGATGTATCAAAATCAGCACACAATACGAAGTAACTCGTAGTATCAGCGATATAGACGAAGTGTTAGTACATTAAATCAAACCTGCTGCAGCAAACATTTTACCTGCCCCCTCAGACTGTTTTTACTTAAATTTTTCTCTAGAAAAGTTCGTTCTGAACTCTTACAAAATATCTGATTCATACCTCTAATCACGCGATTCCATCGCGGTCATACATAATTAAGAACACAAGTTGTATGTTATCAGTAATAATCTCAGTATCATTTTGATCCAGTCTATTTCTGCAAATCTTTGTTTTGTATAACGATCCTGTAATTCCAGTGTGGTCAGCTACACACATAAACACTGTTGCTTTCCAATCCTTTCACTTCACTGACTTCATCCGTCAAGCGAGGCAGCACTGTGTTCACCGCGGCCACGCAGCAACGCCCGAAAAGGCTAAGAGTAGGAAGGAAAATTGCCTGTGTAGCTCCGGCCTCCATCTTAACTCACTTCACGGTCACTGGCTCTTGGATGATTTTTGAGGTTTGAATTTGCTTCGAATACAGTCATTGAGCCCTTCCCTGTTACGCGACAGTTCAACGGCGTAAAACTGTATTCTAGTGACGAGGATGCTGTTCTGTTCAGAGTATTCTCCACTGTGATCTAATCGGAGGAGGGTTCCAAAACTATAGTCTTCCACGACATCTTTAAACTTCTCACAGAATGGTCTCCATTTCTGTAATTTAATTTAAACAAACACATGTGAGGTGAACATTTCAGTCTGCTTCAAGATCGGTAAAGGATTCTCAGTCCTCACAGAGGGAAATTTCACCTGTATTGAATAGTTAAAGAAAAGTAAATTTATAATCAAAATTATTTATCAAAGGAATTTTATAGAATGTCATTAAGATTGACGAACTGCTTAAATTTTCAGGTATTTACCAAAATAAAATTGTCATCCCTAAAACAAGAAACAAGGGAGTGATATATCTTAAATTATGAACAGAAAAATTTTTCTTTCAAATGTTCCGTCAACAATTTTCCACCACAAACATCTCTCTAAGAAAAGTCTTTGAAAAGTAAAGAAGAAGAAAAAGAAAAAGATTTTGACTGTATCTAAAAAAATACCTCTTTTGCTTCAGGGCTTTTTAACTGGTCTTCATCCAATTTATCCACCCTGATATCTGGAAATTCTTCTCGGAAAGCCCTGTAGATATCTTCGTCATGAGGGGTTAGCTTCAGCAATTTTGGATCAACTGAACATAGTATCTGCATTATGAATTAGCAAAAGAAGAATATATGACTTACAAGTACCACACATGCTATCATTAAGAGCACTAACTTATAAAGAGTTCATGCACTGAAGTGAACTGGATGGAACAATTGAACTCTGCCATGTCTTCAACCGATTTATTAGCTACTTGAATTATGACTTTATCCTGCAGTCTGGTTACAAGACAATAAGAATCTTGCACACATCAAAATTCATACATTATTTTAATACTCACATTAAAATAAACCTCTGCATGTTCAAAAGCCTTCACGGCCCATACAATTTCAACTGATGGCTGTAATAAAATAAAAACACTTTATATTAAAGATTTTGTTTTTTTACTGCATGAAGAGACTAGCATAAATTCCCAATGCTAGTTGATATATTTTTTACACTTTATAATCATGATTTAATTTCAAAACCACTCAAACATACTTTCGACTCTATGACAATGAAGAAGTTAAAACTAGTAATCATTAATGCAAATTGTTGAGCTACCCCACAATTGCGACTGTAGTATAAGTAGATTTAGGTTAAAGTAAATGCTGGCAAGACTCAAATCTGACTGATACGTATACCACAGTAATTCCTGATCTCGGACAAAGATTTGTTAATATGGAGAAGTGTACGAATAAATGAGATATGCTTTAAAATATTTACTATGCTTACATCATTGCCAAACTCCTCTGCAGGCCGTGACAACACACTAGCACCTGCAAGAAGTTCATCCGCTCCCTGAAACCATGTTTTTATACACATTAAATCCCAGGAAACAGTAGAAAACAAGAAAAAATATGCCAATTTAAATTTTATCACTATTATTAAAACTTAATTTTACTCACTACATCACCGGATACACTAGCCATCGCCATGCTGTTTCGGAATGAGAATATTAGATACTGCACTCCGACGGGGAGGCTGTAAACGTGTAAAACGTTGTAAAACATGCATAATCATAATCATCATCATACTATCATTACATAAGTATAACAGCGTTAAATTTAAAACATATTTTATAATGTATTATGGCATACAGGCGATTGAAATATCGACGATTACAGAGAACACTTTTTCATACAAAATTTTCATACAAGCTGGCTGCTGTTTTCTGACGTTCCTCATAGATGTCAGGGCATGTTCAAAATAAAGAACTGCCGCGTTTTGTTTTCACAATTTTCCACATAATTTGTATAACACATGTTACATATCAGAAGGTAGCGGTTTCAATCAACTATAGTTTATCCGCTCCGCCTGTATGATGCTAAAAAAAATCAGATGTCAGCTCTGATGAATTAAACAACTAGACACAAAAACAGAACGAAAATGCAATGTGTATTTTTCCGCTTAATATTTACTGAACGCCATCAGGGGTTGTCTGGAAATAAAGGTAAATTTTATCTTACGGAAATCAGCAGTTGGTACCCTTGCTTTGTATTCGGGAGTTTCAGGACTTGGCTCTCGGTCAGGGAACAGAGGGTTTTGTGGTTTTCTTAAGCCCCCTCGCCCCTCCCAAAATGGTTACTAATGTTTCGGAGGGGCATCTTGTACATTTCTCTGAAACGTTTACAAGATTATTTGGAGAAGTTGCGGTTTTGACGGACATGGCAACGTCTTCGGTAAGATTGTGAACAAGGGCATTTCGGCAAACACCGAATGCCCAATTTGTGATCAAGAAGAGGGGAACCGGAAACTTGGTCTCAACGTGTTCTCCTGATTTCAGTCGGTCAGATTTGACTTTTGTAATCATTCTCTGAACACAACCTTAGTACTGCGCTGCTAACCGAAGGTCAATCAAGTGACTCACGCCTCGGTCCTACGTACAATCGGACAGATAATGCGTTCAGCATGGCGATGCCGGGACGTGTCTGCGAAGGAGGACGAAAGACGAGTACCAAAGACAAGAGTTGACGTTATTTGTTATATTACGTGTAGCAATATGGTTTCACCCACTCCCCGACACTCGATCTCCTAATTTGAAGTTGGCGGAAGGATACATTTGTCATACGGTCCCCCGTGGGCCATGATCGGGTCGGATGAAGTTATGAGAACTAGAGTGCAGTAGATCACAGCAAGGGGAGGGGATTCCCCCGGAAGAGGAATGGTCAGAGAGTAGAGGAGTGGAGAGGATAGGATGGGGTGACTCCCTGGAGACACGACCCGGCAAAAATCATCTCCGTAGCCATTTCCCCAGCAAAAATCATCTCGTTCCTTAGTCTTCCTTTTCTTGAACGTGAGACAGAGGGGGGAGGGGCTTGTTGGTTACACACTCGCTCGCCTACTTAAAATTTCGACTTCGTCTCTTCTCCCAATTATTTTTACTGCGTGTCACGTGAAATTGGGAGTAGTGACTCTTCTAGGGCGAGAAAAAGGGTTCAGATATGACAGTCTCCTTTGCATAAACGTCATACCACCATGACAGTTACAGAAACAACATGGCGCTGTAGCGTACATCCTCTTCGGGAGCCCTGGATTCGAACCTGTGATCAGACACCGGGTATCTTTGCTGAGATTTTTCGAATTTTCTCAGTACTTGTAGTCCCTCAAATAGGGCACGACCGCTTCCTTTCAGATCATTCTCCATTCATCATTCATAATTATCCTGCCTTTAACAACACAACTGTTATATAAACCAATAGAATAATCGTAAAAGTATCGCTCCACGTGACTTATTCCTTGTGAAGTTTTCGACAAAATTTCTAATTTATTAAGAACTAATGTTTTTATTATATCTTATAAAGACGGTGTGGACTGGATTCATCTGGCTCAGGATAGGGTCCAGTGGCGGGCTCTTGCAAACACGGTGATGAACCTTCAGGTTCCTAAAAAGGCGAGTAATCCCTTAATTAGCTAAACCATTTGAACCTCCTCAAGGTCTGTGTTACATGGAGTTCTTGCTATGTTATATTATTATTATTATTATTATTATTAATAAGTTTTAGAGGAATAATTTAAGTTTACTGCAGGGAAATCTCTTGGCGAAAGGCAGGCGTTAGTTTAATGCAGACCTAAAGTAGCAACTGTGCTAATTCTGAGAGGCGAGAATTACGGGGCAGTCAAAAGTAAATAAACCATCTCATTGATTGAGGAAGAGTTCATCTCGGAGGAATTAATTGAGGATTCGGGACGGGGGATGGACCGCTGGGTCCGAGGTCTCACACACACACAGAGTAACAGCTTACAGCTATCCCCTAGCGAAGGGATGCAAACGAAGGCGGGCTCCAGAGCCGGAGAACATGGAACTGAACTGAATCCCAGTGGACCAGTCATCTGCTACTGGTCGGCAACTCTGCATTAGCTTACACACCCACGTATAATAACTCGACTGGACTGACCAGTGCCAAATTAAGCCGTACATCAGTACAATTGTGTGTACAGTAAGGGATATCACGTGTTGTAATAGTGGTATACCTGATAATTACTTCTACAATATTAACTTGGCAGAGTAATTGGGCTCGAGAGTACAGACGAGACGCGCCATGTGCCACCTCATGACTGCGTAATGCAGAACGGAGCGGATTGTTCTATGCAGGTACA